GCTTTCTTTTCTTTTTTTCTTTTTTCTTTTTTTTTGTAGTGTTTTAAAAGGGCCAAGCCTAATTCGTTATATTGCTTAGGGTCCTATCAGATAGAATGTAAACGTCATTCTTTTAGCTTTTTTCGATTTTGTAAATTTCAGAGGGTACATTTCATAGCAAATAAATAAGACAACAATGCATTAGAAGGGAATAAAATTAAAAAAAAAAAGAAAAAGGAAAAAATTTTTAATAATATAAACAGCTGTTTAATATAAAGACTAACCAGATCAGTTCCATGAAATTTTAAAAAATTACATTGTATCAAAATAACAGAAATCCTGGTCGTCCTATACATTTTTTTTTCAGTTTTTCTTTAATACAAGATTTATTACCATTATTATTGTGTTATTATCATTATTATTGTGTTATTATCATTATTATTGTGTTATTATCATTACTATTGTGTTATTATCATTATTATTGTGTTATTATCATTACTATTGTGTTATTATCATTATTATTGTGTTATTATCATTATTATTCTTATGATACAATTAATAATTTACTTTCAACTTTTACCAATTTTATTAAATTACTTAGATATTAAAAAACTGCTGGCATATTGATCACATATCGTTACATTGCTGTGTTGTCATTCCTTCTTTTTTTTTTCTTTGAGACGCAAAATTCATTTCACTTCATTTGACTCATACATTAGCATTAATGAGTTGCATGAAGTAAAGCATATGGCTAATTTAAAATAATGCTAGGCTAATTATCCAAAATATTTTAGTACATATCCTAAAAAAAAGCCACATATTTTTTTAAACTTCTTTTATACTATAAAATTAATTAAAAACTCTGAAATTAATTCATACGTGTTAAGAATTATCAATAACAATTAAGTAAAACTATTTCTAAAACTCAAAACTTACTTTTGATAACATTACGATTTAATATTGATTTCTAGAATTGTAATTTTGTTTATGAATTATTCATACACGTAGTTATTGTTATGCAGTTTGCATTTAACTATTTCATTGTTTATTTAATTATTTCTATATTCAAGGCAAATAATGTTGATGCAGAGGTGATACCGAATAAAATACCATCATTTGATAATCAAACGATATCAGATGATCAGAAAATATACCTCGATTCTACAGCACTGATGAAACCTTCTGAAGATACCGAAAATAGCCAACAGGTTGTTGTTCACATTTGGTATCTGACTGACCTAATGATAACCTTTTATCAATGACCTTTCATCAATCACTGCGGTAATGAATTAACTGTTTCATACAAGAATGAAATATTCAAATCTTTTTCATAATTATTTGAATAAATGTGTGAATCGAAAAAAATTCTCACTTCATAATATCATTTTTTTTTCCATTTTTATTAATTAGATTAATTTCACACCCACCTTTTCAACTTAATAAATACGACGGTAAACTTTCGAATGCTTAATTTATTTTTTTTTTATGAAATTTAACTTATTCAAACAATGTCTCAAAGTTATCGCTAATGAAAATAGTACTCGTTCAAATATTATGAAGTATTAGCATTTCTATTTCAGATTTCCACATTTCATTCCAATAATACCCGTGATATGGATGAACTAGGAACTGCTTCACTAACACAACTACCAGGTATTTCATGTTTTGGTTTTTATCCATGTGAAACAGAAAGTTAAAATTAAAAACTTACTTTTGATGATCAATAAAAGAGCAGTTAAGGAAATTAAACCGATACTTATGAATATAATTAAACTTTACGGTCGAATTTGCCATTTAATACTTGCATAACTTGTTACTTTAAAAAAATCAGCGAAATTGATTAATTTTTCTGTATATAACTTTTAGTGTTATCAATAAGCTAATGTTATCAAACACATTGATTTACTTCATATCGATAGTCTACTCCATATAAGGAATGATAACATTAAAAGCTTGACGTATATTAGCTATAAAAGCTTAACGTACATTATATCACGATAACAATACATTATATCACGATAACAACGAAAGTAATACATTTGAGAGATCGGTCAATTCTGTTGATCATTTCTATTGATCTATTTTTAAAGGTTGCAATCGTAGAAGCATTCCATCACAGACTGTAATCTGGATTACATCCTCGTAAACTTATCTGATGATAAGTATCATTCCACAATGATCAACGTCCACCTTTAGTGCAACCAATAACGTCCTTTCTTTTACATTTGTTCATTTCTCCCTCCCATGACTGTGTTAATCTATAATAGTTATTTGATGTTTATATGACTTATGAAGGTCATGCTAAATATTACTTTTACCGTCAAGTTATTTGTTATTGTTAGTTAAGAATAAATTTTTAATTTAACTAACATGTCCTGTCCTACACGTATCTGCTTCCCAAGCGAAATATTGTCACAGCATATATTTCTCTTAGGAAGAAGCTTTCACGGGGAAATAAAATGAATAAGTGAAGTGTTTTCAGCTCATATTTGACAGTAATGAAAACCTTTCTGTTCTTGTGTTCAGATCAGTTAGAAAATTCTGCACCAAAAGAAGAAGTCATAACGGAACGGAAAAAAAGTTCAACAAGCAATGATATTAATACGGAACGGAAAGAATCGATTACTATCAGTGAAAAGGCTAGCATTGATTCATCAAATCATGTATACGATACACAACAGTATCCTACTATATCTGAAACTGAATCAACAGTACATTATGATACAAGTTCATATTACGAAAGTGTAGAGAGACAGATTGGTGATATCACTGAATCGACAAATCTTCAACAAACAGGTGTGCTTTTACTTCTGTATAATTTGTTTTTAGATTTAACTAAAATTTTCAAATCACATCTCAAAATTTGTCATGTCATATCCGGAATTTTAAACCGTTTATCACTATCTTATATGGTTAACATTTAGTTTTCTTTTAATGTATTGAAACTTATTTGTGAGAGAGGAAAAAATGTGACGAATTATCACATTGGAATGTAAAAATTTTCGAAATTTTACTTCGTCTTATCCAATTATTTGCATTTGATATTTCAGTATGTCATTAGCTAGGAGAAAATAATGTATTGCATGATTTTAGACGATAGTATGTTTTATCAGCAACCAAGAGAACATGAACAATATAATTATTCTTACAATGAACAACAGACTCAAAGCTTTGGTGAAGTCCAGAATGTACAGCACGATTACGGTACGACACCGTATCAAGATTATGAACAACAGCAGCAGAGTAAAACATTTACAAGTTATCAAAACTATGACCGAATGAATTACGCAACAGAATATCAGAGCTATAATGAACAGTCAACTATGAGTCAAGATTACACACAGCAACCGATAGCAGTGCAGCACTACGGTCAGCAGTCTACTGCGTTATCTGATTACGATACTTCACAGTACGACCAGTCACAAGGATATGGTTATGATAGCTACAATGCTTACGCAGCATCTTATGTACCATCAACAGATAGCCAAAATTATGTCAATCAAAGTGGTTCGGATTCCTATACAGGTAAAATATTTGAGAAATAAAGTTTCTGAAATTGGAGTGTCAAGATCTCTCAAAGTGCTTGTCTGAGAGAGTCGATGTGTTTAGGAATTTCTCTATTCAGGATATGGATTGGTTAACAACATATGAAAATCGATTTTTCGATAATTCATAGTGAAGAAATAACTATAGGCTAACATAGTGGAAATAAAAAGATGAAATTTATAAGAACTGCTGGAAAAATTATCATATTCTATAATTATGCGGAAAATGTTTAGGTGTTGTCGAAGAAACAACCAGCGATTACGGTATTCAACATTACCAGGATCATGCTGAAGAAAATCCTGTTATGTCTATCCATGCTAGCGATGGCTATCGACCTACCGTGATACCACAATACATTGCACCATTATTTCCAACCGTAATTAGGTATCTTTTTGTTAAACAAAAAAAAAAGTTTCCATAAGCTAAACTATATCATAGGTTGTACATACTCATTTTATTATGATAAGGTGATAATGATCGGATAATGCGTTGGAATAAGGAATAATTTAAATGCAACAAAATGAAGTTAACAAATGAATTTTAGCCTATTCGATGATGTATTCTTTTTCAGCTCGGAACCAAATCCATTTTCTTGGGAAGCACAAGAAAGTAAAGCAGCAGCAATGATTACAGAACCTTTATCACAACATGTTATCCAATCATCAAAGTTATCTCCGACAGAAATATATCAACAAAAGTCTGTTAAGCTTGAACATTTTTTATCTCATTTAAAATGAAATTTAATTTTTAGTATATTTGGGCAAATTTTCTTTCTTGTTTTCTACTTTTAGTTAATACAATGTTAAATAATTTTAAATAAGAAATTGCTATTTGTTTATTTTTACGCATACTTACCCAAACTTAATTTTAATTGCTTTATTTAATTACAACTTAATTCATATCCCAATAATTAGTTTCTCCAAGTGTTATTATAAATTATGTATGAGCACAGTCGAATATTGGTTGACGATGGTTTATTGATAGATGGAGAAGTGTCATATGTTAACAGGAGAGTTTGCAAAAAATATTGAATACAAACTTGATCACCAAGTTGATTGAATTGATTGACTAAGTCAAAGCGAACACTTGGTTGAATGATTTTGATATATTTTGTTAGGTGAATAACTTTATTGTAGAAAACTTCTGAATTGTAGAATGGCCCGTTTTAGAATGACGCTTATGTGAAATCCTTTTTGTCGAATGACATGATTCCTACTGTTTGTCCGTATTTCTGGTGTAATGAGAGTTTATTGATAATAATTCAAGAGGTTAAAACTGATTGACCTCAAGATGAGCTGAAGTTCCTTGTAATATGCCGACATCGACCTGAAATTCTTTAAAATATACCGACATTGTATATGAACTTGATAATTAACATGAATTGATTTACAAAGTTTTACAACACACATATTTACAATATCGACATTATTTTTATATCAAAAATATTTCGTTTCATACCAACAAATGTCGCAACTATTTTGGATTTTGAATAATCTAAAATTTATAAATGCTTTAAAATTTTTTTTACTCCTAAATTAATTATCAAACAAAGTTATGTAAAGTTTTACTTCTGGTTTTCCTAGAAATTTCCTTTTTTTTTTTTCTAGAGAAATACCAACAGAAAGTGATAGTGGCGTTGAAATTGTTGAGGAAGTGAAGCGAAAACGTAAGTGATACAAACAAATACTCTATTTTACAGTATAACAGATGCAATGTATTGTGATTATGTCGAATGTTTGTCTAAATTTTCTTTTTCTCTTTTTTTAGGAGTTACAAAACAATATTTTTGTTATTCAATTACTTTTTTAAATAATATTTTAAGCAATAAATTTCTTTTTCATCTTTTAACATTGCTTCATAATCGAATTCTATTCAGCAACATTGAAATTTTTGTTGAAATTTGATTTCAAATAAAAATTGCCATTCATGAGATAATATGATAAGTTTAACTGTTTTTAGCACCATTACGACCTGCTCCACCATCACCATCTGTTGAACGTTCAATACCACCAACACGACCTCCAATGCCACTTTCAACAAAACCAAAATATTCTACTGAATCACCATTGCATCAGGAATTACCGCTCAAACTGACAGAATCAGAACCGGAAGAAGATGCTTGGACGCAATTTAAAAAATTAACAGAAAAAGCTACAACAGCAGTTAAATCAACTGAAGAAAAATTGAAAGAATTGGAAAAGACAACAGCTGCCAAAGATCTCAAGGATGAAAGTTACCTCGCACAGATTGGGTATGTTTTCTTGATGGGAAAGGCAAATGAATGATAAATGTTGCAATGTCTTTGGGGTTTTTTTCCGGATACATTCCTGGTAGTACTCATTTCTTAAAAGGAGAGAGGAAGACAGATGAAAAAAGATGAATGATAAATGTTGCATTGTCTTTGGAATTTTTTCCGGATCATCCTCGACTACAGTCAATATTTAGTGATAGTTTGATCTGTTGATTCGAAATTCTCTAATATAATTACTTCTAGCATTGTTTGTTACAAATTTGGTTGAGTTTATTAAAAACTTGCATAAATGCGAAAGTTTGCAGTGGTTCTCAAGCATACATACCGGAACATGCCTATAAGCAAGCACGAGAGCAGGGATCTTTAACTGCACCAGTAAAAGAGAAGAAGACAATGAAATATGGGAAATCGAAGAAAATGCCGACACCGGAATTGACATTAGAACAAGTGGATGATATGGATCGAGCTGCTATGGAGCTTGTTAAGAAGATGGCTGCTACAAGAGTTGATCTACAGGTTGGATTAATTTATTAAATTTTTTGTTTTTCAATATCACCGTTTAATTTTGATATAATAATGTTAATATATACCTATAAAGATTGACCTTTAGCCATCTTTAAGATGATTTACTTAAAGTGTCGGTGTATTAGTGTATTAGTAACCTTTGAGTTAGTTTATAAAATAACAAATTAAAATACACCGTAATATGTAACTTAAAATATTGGCATAAACTTTTGGTTTATCAAAATTTTATTTTAGCATTCCCAGAAATGGAAATGCTAAAATATATGTGTTTTAGCACTGCAAATCGTTTATCTATCAGGCACATTTTCAGTTTTATTCGCTCAAATATTGTTAATGCAATAATTATCACTTATTTGTTTTCTGATTTCTGTTTTGAATTCCTGGAATTTAAAAAAATATAAGATAAATGAAGAAAATGTACAGTGAATCATATTTGTAGGATTGGAAGCCACCAACAGAACAACAACAAGATCCATCAACTCGGAACCAGATACCAAACGAATCATCTGATGAAATGTTAGCATTGTCATACTCGCTAAATCAAATTAAATTAAATTTCCAAACTCATTCACAGTATATTTATGTTAGAAAGCAATAATAAATTAGAATGTTAAGCAGCAAATGTTAAATTTATATAATAATTGAAGTATTAGTACTTATCATTTGTGAAACTTATTTCAAGAATTTAATTTAATTTAACTATTTTAATTTAACCTTCAATTTTCTAGTACACCAGCTAAATCGAGCAGTAATGATATGCTAGATAAGGAGGCTTCAGATGTGTTTAAAGAAACAACCGCCATGGCAACTTTTAGTTATCTTTATGAAATTTATGACGAATTCACAATTAATTAATTAATTCATCGATAATTGGTTTCAAGAACTGAAATCCATGTCTAACCAATCCTTTCTACCTTTAATCCTTATTTATTTATTTTTGCCCATCAATAGAATAATTAATTATTTATTTTTAGTAAGGTTAAGATTATCATTGCTAGTGCTGAAATGGTAATGAGTTGTTAACTGAGGATCCAAAAGATTATATAAAATTAATCACCGGCTTAATTTCCATTTAAACCTGGATATTATGATAAATAAGTTCGTAGAATTTTCTCCATTATTCATCATCAGCATATTGATTATATTATAATATTTAAGCCAAGAGCCAAATAATCGAACTTGGACTGGTTTTGATGAATCACAGTCGGCTGAATTACCACCATCTGAATCAGGTTTCTTCGCAAATGCTTCGGCAGTTCCAGTTTCACCGGACAAAGCATTTGGTAATTCGAGTACTGTGTCTGGTGAAGAAAAAGCTTCGATCAATGACCATTTAATTGACGAGGTATCTATGCAATGATCGTTTCATTATATTATTAGCAAGAAAAAAAAAGAAAGCATGTAGTACCATTTTGAGTGATAATTAATAACCGGTATTAATTACTCTCATTAATGTATCTGGATTAATTTACAGGACTATGATCCATTCAACGTATGTTCTGCGGATGATTTGGTTAAAGAAGCAAAAGCACGAGCTGCTGCAGCAATTGCTGCAGAAGAAACTGCAGGAGATATTAATTTCTTTGCTACTGCTAAAGTAATCGAACAAAAAAGTGACGTTAGTTCACCAACTCAAGAAGGTGGTAGTCCAGCAAGTTCACGACCTGCTGGATTTGATGATGAATTCCGAGTGGAAGTTAGTTTTTTAGTGTAGATTTGATATATAAGTGATACTATTTGTCGCAGATCAGCGAAGAAACTTAGTTAGCATTAGTTAATAGTAATGATATGAAGTCTAATATTATTGCCATTAGTTGATAATAATGATAAGAGCTTTAATATTATTGGCATTAGTTGATAACAACGATAGGAATCCTAATATGATTAGTATTATTTGATAACAATAATAAGAAGTTTAGTGTTAGTTTAGTACCATTAGTTGATAGCAACGATAAGAATGCTAATATTATTAGCATTAGTTTGATAACAACGATAAGAAGTCCAATATTATTAGCATTAATTGATAATAATAATTTCAACATTTTGTAAAAGAATGCTTCATTTATTTTATTTATTATTTAAGATAATTAAATGGAAAACGTAACTTGAACAATTGTTTCATTATTGAAACGAATCAATTACATTTAATTTAAAACAAGAAAAAGTTTTTTTTTAAATTCAGTTCTTAAAAAAATTTTTTCCTCTCAAATAGTTAAATATAAAAGAAATTTTCAGGATGATGCAATTAGTACGCCAAGTCCATTGTATGATGAAGATGATAGTGAGCAGTTAACTGATTTTCCAGCTAAATTTACCGGTGATGGTTGGGAAATGATGATCCGATATCCGATAAAGAAAAAAATTATGAGTGATCGTTATTGGAAGCCATGTTACGTGAGATTACGTGACAATACTCTTTTCTTGTTCAATTCAAAAACTGAACAAAAATCATTCATGGAAATTTTATTACAGGTTTTCAAATTTTTTTCTCATTTCGATTTTTCGAACTAAATATTAAATGATCTTTAGTCTTAAATTTTAGTCTACCTGTATTATAGCTTGTATTCCTGTTTGAAAAACTAGCTTTCCCTATGAATTTATACTTTTATTCAAGTCATAGAATATGAATATAAACCCGAAGCAAATGCATTATTTCATTGACTTTACCTTATATTACTCACCTGTATTACCTTCATCATATGCCATATTGCATAAGTTATGACATTCATGATGAAGTTTAAATTCAGTTGTTTAGATATCAGTTATATCTCCTTGTGATTGTAATGGATAATGATAGAACAATTGGTTGATCCTTATTTATTCATCACTTCGTCTAATTAAAATTATCAATTTAATTTATGGTTGATTTAATACATTTACTTATGATTACTAACTTCGCAATTATTGATTTTATTTCTAAAAAAGTGATTAAGTCATTTTTATATGTAAAAATGACTTGATCACTTTTTGATATCCTGACTAATTTAAAATAATTTGATAATTTCAGGCGACTTATTCTCTTTCGGATCCGACATTGCAAGCATATGATGTTTACGGTAAAATTCATACGGTGAAATTGCAATTTGTTGCATACAAAGAACGAGTTGGCATTAGACCAGGTGTATAAATAAATGCCGATAATTGGATTTTCTTAGATCTAGAACTTCAACATGAAATTTTACATTATTTCCTTGCCTTAAATCATTATTTAAACAATCATTGCTTAATCATAATTTTAATCAAAATTTTGAAATTGCAATTTAAGCAGTAATTTTCTTCAGCATTCTAAAAATTAATTAAGTTATTAGTTACAACTGGTCAGCACTTTCTTCATTCATTTATGCACACTGCCTAATTATGTATTTAATTTTATTAATAATAACTTCTGTATTGCCGTTACTGTCTGAAAAATAAAGAAATATTATCAGAAGTAACTTTTTTCTTGTAAATTTTCAGGACAAATTTCACGACTGGTAGAAGGACATGTGACAAAATATGGTTTACCATTGGAACATTCGGCGCAATGTACCGTACTACTAAAATTTGGATCGTTAAATGCAGCGGAATTGTTCACATTTGTTGCTACTATTGAAGATATCCTCTTTCGATGTGTAGCTGTACGAAACAATGCGCCTCTATATAAGCAAGATGAAATTCAGGTATTAAACTGATAATATTTTAATGCATAATTTTGCAATATCCAATTTAAACAATTGATAATTTACTTAAAATAAATTTTAAAATTATAAATCGCTATCAGTTATTAGTTACAAACTGATCAACACTTCCTTTATTCATTTATTACTTAATCTATTCACAAGTGTTTGCTGCAAGTTGCCTTTGAGTTCATATAAGTTAACTGATAGTAATTTATATGTGTAATTTATCCTTTACCGTTGCTGTATGGAAGAAAAAGAAAATTTAACATGTTCAAAATATATAATCACTTAAAATACTTAAAATATATGGTTATTGTTTTTAAAGATAAAAATCAAGTAATAGCAGGTAAAGATAAGCACAAATAACTTTACTTTCATTTTTTTTTTGCTTTTTGGAAAAATTTTATATTACTTTCAAAAAGATTCACTGTTACGATGAATATGCTGCTCATGTGGATAAATTCAATATTCTGAGCAATCAAAAAGCTCGTGTACGATTATTCTGTCTTGCATTCGTTTCCGGATCACCTATACTTGAAATTGGTCTTAATGATCGTCGCAGACAAGGAAAGGTTTGTTTATTAATCATTTTAAAAATTCAACAACTCCTTATCTGCAATATTTTTTGCATCATATTATTATTATTATTATTATTGTTATTATTATTATTATTATTTATTATTATTATTATTATTATTATTATTATTATTATTATTATTATTATTATTATTATTATTATTATTATTATTATTATTATTATTATTATTATTATTATTATTATTATTAT